GCTTCTGCTGGTTTTCTCGGCTAATCGCTTCTTCAGTTCTGTTTTAGTCCTTTTTCTCGCCATCAACTGTCCGCTGAATGGCATTTTAGTTAGTCTGCTCATCCTCAATCGAATTCCGCTGCTGAAGGCCTGCTTTGTTGGACCGGTTGCTCTTGAGGAGTTTATTTTCATCTTTGGCATCCACTTGCTGATTGCTAATGTAAACAAGAAGATCCACCGACCGGCCGTGGCCGTACTGCATCGCATTTTCATGGAGAAAGTTCGACANGTCCGCTGAATGGCATTTTAGTTAGTCTGCTCATCCTCAATCGAATTCCGCTGCTGAAGGCCTGCTTTGTTGGACCGGTTGCTCTTGAGGAGTTTATTTTCATCTTTGGCATCCACTTGCTGATTGCTAATGTAAACAAGAAGATCCACCGACCGGCCGTGGCCGTACTGCATCGCATTTTCATGGAGAAAGTTCGACAGATGGCTTCCACGACTGAATCTACCAATAAAATGTCTCCGCAATCGAGCACTCACTTCAAAGTTAGTCTCCTGATTCAGGCATTTGCCTTTACCCGAAAACGTTACGGTTTCACCTACGCTAATTTTGGCCGCATTTCATTGATGGCCTTTGTCCGGTACCTTCTGCTCTACTCTCAACTGCTGATGTTTGTCCTGAAGATGGTGTAGAAAGATACAACAGCAACAAAAAAAGATAATGTATAGAAAGGAAGGCTTTATTTATTGGTTTAATTAACTCAAATGAAGCCTTTTCTCCGCAAACTCTGCAAACTTCCTCTAGACGGCGTTCTTGTTGATCCAGTCGATGTAGTTGCCCACTCGGGTGTACACGCCCGGGTATTTGGCCTGGGCGCAGCCGCGGCCCCAAGAAACGGCGCCGACGAGGGTTCCGCTGGCATCCACAACTGGGCCACCGCTGTCACCTGTTATTAAAAAGATATAATTTGATTAATTTTTTACTAAAATCTTTCTCAAAAAGAGCTTTTCTCTTACCTTGGCAAGCGTCCTGTTGTTATCAAATAAAAAATCAAAAACGATCAGATTAAAACTTTGTTTAAGTCCCTCTCTTTCTCTCTTTCTCTCTTACCTTGCCACCGACATTGAGCACTCCGGCGCAGAACATGTTATCGGTGATGGCGGAGGCGCCGTAGGCGGTGCGGCATTCAGCCCGAGACACGATCGGCACCGTCACCGTGCGCAGCTTGGTTGGCAGCGAGCTGGCGCCGGAGCTGGTGGTGCCCCAGCCGGTGATGGTCACATCTCCGGAGGTGGGGTCGGAGCCCTGGGCGGGCAGGCCGATGGTGTTGGCATTGGTGCTGCCGAGCACCAGCGCCGTGGCGGTCTTCAGCAGGCCGATGTCATTGTCGATGGTGCTGCTGGAGTAGCTGGGGTGCTTCACCACCTTGCTCACCTTGACCATCGTTCCGCCGCTGTTGTGCGTCAGGGTGTTGTAGCGGATGTTGAGGGAGCTGGCGCTGACGCCGTCGATGCAGTGGGCGGCGGTGACGATCCAGTTGGCGCTGATGATGGAGCCGCCGCAGCTGTGCGACGATCGCTGCAGGGAGATCTGGTGCGGCGCGGCGCCGTTGGCCGCCTCGGTGCCGCCGACGATGTAGCCGTCGGCGTAAAAGTCCTTAACCGCCTGTTCATTGTACTGCTCTCCAATAGGCGAGCTGAAGGCGACCGCGACGAGGGCGGCGAGCAGGAGGAATTTCATGGCTGCTGGTGGTTGTGGGGGTGTTTGGGTTGCTGCTTTGCTAGAAGTCCAGGGAAGAGGGGAGGAAGGTTGAAAGTGATGCTTGACTGGAGACAAATGACTGTCTTTTATAGTAAACTTTGTGGCGATAGTTAAAAAGGGCTGACCTTCATTTGGAGAAGCGACCATCAGATGTCATAAAGTGCAGACTTTAATTTCACTTGATCTTCCTCTTCTTTGCCTTCTTCTCTCACCTTCTCGCTTATCGAGAGCAAGGATGCTGCTGCTGCTGATGTTGCAAAGGTGTGAATACGGGTGAAAATGACAATCAAATTATGGTGACGGTAGTGGTAGTGGTAGTTGTGGTCATAAACAACCAGCCTACATCTTTGCTCCGAAATGCCCAGTTCGTTATCTGTTCTCCTCTTCTGCTGTGTGGTATCTCAGCAAAACTGAGACAATAAAAAAGTTTACATTTTTATTGTTTACTAACTGCACACACACACACTGTCATGCGCCAGTCTGCCACTACAAAAGAGATGATAAGATGGGTAATTCACGTGAAACAAGTGATTGGCAAGTGATCATAAAAGAAGGATACAGGAAAACGGTATTGGGAAAAAGATGTTGTCATTGCATCCACAACCAGATCACCCCCAGATTACAACCGTCCTCTGCTGACCATCTTTGCGACGTACATGACAATTCCCGAGTAAAGAAGGGCAAAGTTGAAAAAGGACGCCTTGCTGATCTTCCCAAAGGGGCCGAGCGTAAAACGAAACTCATCAGTGGTGAGCACCTGCTCGAAGAAGCCGGCCAACTTTAACTTGGCTACCGTCAGCACCGATCTCCGGTACAATGGGTCACCCTCTTTGCTGGCCATCACCAGCTGCGCCTTGAAGAGCAGCCGATCAGAGCGTTGAGAGAAGGTCGAAGACCAAAAGGTAAGGCCAAAAACGGCCAGCAGCGCAAGGACCGTCTGCAAGGCGACCACTATCAACATGACTCCCTTTTCGCTAATATGAAGAGACCTTCGGAAAAGGAGGTTCCCAATCATCACCACATTGAGGGTAATGTTGGAGAGCAGCGTGCCGAACATCAGCTGGCTAAC